TGCACTTTAATGGTGGGCAGTTTGCACGTGTTAGCAGAATAATGCACATTAAATGACTTCGGGACGCAGCAAAATAAAACATCTCCAAGGTGGTTTAGTTTGCCACAAAGGGAAGCACCAGGCCCCGTGCCACTCAGAGGCTGTGCAGGCAGCCCATGCAGGCAGCCTGGTAGCAGCCTGTGCAGGCAGGATCCACTAACGGGGAAAAAAAAATGCAGCAAGCCTGATCTTTTTTTGTTATTTTTTTTCTCCCCGGGGTCTGCCAGTCTGCCTGAGTTGTGTCAGGGCCCAGTACTTGCCTCCGCAGCTGTGGTGCCCTCTGGGACTGCTTGGGCTGGGTACTTGGGGGTGGGTGCTGTTTGGGGCATGCCGCTGCTGCAGGGGGAAGCACCAGCCCTCCCCCACAGCTCAGGGACCGCTCGGCCCACCAGTAGCTTGCCTTCCCCATTCCACCACTGGAGAGGCAGGTAAGGGTCAGGCTCGACCCTTGTGTACATGCCACGGGGGTTTACTTCGCCCTAAATTGAAGTGGTGTTTTTAAAGACCCACCACTTCAATTTAGGGAGAATTAAACCAAAGTAAACCCCCGTGGCGTGTACAAACGCCCTATGATAGCAGTTTATGTTACAGATCATGCTTACTGTTTCTTATGAAGAAGAAAAGCAGGGAAGCTGTGTAGAGTAAGACATGGATGTAACTATCTGTCCGTTCAGCATCATGGTCTAATGCTGGACAGAACACTAGGCTGGGACTCTTCCTTTGTAACGTGATTTGAGGTCAACTGATTAAAAGAGCTACATCAGAGCTGAGTACCAATAAAGGGAGGAAGGGCTTGAAGGAAAAGCAGCCAGAGCAAATTATTAATGTTAAGAAAAAATAAGAAAACCTGCTTTCATAAGCATAGTTAACAAGAATATTTCCATTTAAGAATGTTATAAGAATGTTTTATAAGAATATTTATTAACAGACACAGATGGGAATTTATGGACAACACCACATGGATTATTTAAATGAGAGTTGGCATAGAACTTGACAATCATATATGAAACAATCCTGAATTGTTAACTAAAAGAATAACAGAACCTAACAGGATTTTCCTGTCTCTAACTGCTTTGAGCCCAGAAAATGCTGGTAAAAACATTGTCAATGTAAGGAAGGTAGCTGTGGGAATATAAAATGTTTGTGTACACTGAAAGATAAGCCCTGAAGATGTGACTGTGCTTGAGTAATGCCTCTAGTTATGCCCTGCAGAGCACTGTTTAGATTAGCTGAGACTACCCCAGTGGCAGCTTTTGCCTGTACATCCATCCATATCAGGAATGTGCAGTTTTCATTCCCAAACATCTCACTGCATTTGTGTGTTAATGCTCCTTCTGATTCCCACTCAGGAATCTCCTTGGCATTTTTCAGGGTCCCACCTTTCTCTCTCTCTCTCTCTCTCACACACACACACACACACACACACCAGGTTCTTGGGGATGTCACTCAGGTGTCAGGACTTCCACAGCCCAATGCATTACATAGACCAGTGTTTCCCAAATTTTTTATACCTAAGACAAACTTCCATCACCCCTGCATCACCCTTTGGGAATCACTGGGATAGACACACAATGAAAAGAAAGTTCCTACTCCAAAGAGCTGATAATCTAGGTCTTGACAAGATGTAATGGGAGACACAAGGGAGGTAGGAGTGAGGGTAACTTAATAGGGCAAAAATTAGTGTGCAAAAGCTAAGAACTCTCAGCTCCCCTGTTTAACTGCTTTTCCAAGTAACTAAAATTGATAGGACTATTGTTTTGTCATAGCAAATGTTTTATGAAAAATCCCTGATACAAAATGTGAAGAGTCAGAAACAGAGTAAAGAAAATATCCCAAATGTTATATTAGTGGAGATGTCAAATAACCTTCATTTTCTATTTCTGGTGCAAATGACAAGGGCATGCATTGTAATGCAAAGGTGGAGATTCATACATGTGGCTTTCAGAAGTAATCTATGAAAACTCAACCCATTTCTCTAAATTTAAAAATAGTTACAGATTATATAATGTAGAAAAGCTGGACACGAATAAAGATAGCAGATAGAAAAACTCTACAGCTCTCAGAATTATCAATGAAGTTTGCTCAGCAAGATCATCATATTGGTCCATCTTGTTGTAAGAAGCCAAAAAGCCAAGAGAAACATTTCTCTAAAACAAAAAAGCATGGAATCAACAACTCACATGGCAAAGTCTACCTTCCTCCAGGCATTATGCCAACAATTTTAAAATAGTACCCAGTTACAGGTACTGTTCGTAGTAGCACCCACAGGGCACATCTACACGAGCATGCACAAGTGCTTTGTGGCACCTCAAAGGCTTTTGAGACGCTGCAAAACACACCCCGCACATGTGATTTGGTTTTTTGCACTGCATGTTTGCAATGCAAAGCCAAATTTAGATACTGGGAAATTCCAGTATCAAAATAATGCGTACCAAAAAAGAGCAGCACAGTGCAAGTGGCAGCAGAGTGCACCACCCAAAACTGGAGCCTGGCCATCCTCCAGCTGTCGGCCAGGCTCTGTGCACCCAGATCACCACCACTACAGCCCTGGGAGGTCCCCAGAACCCCAGGTAAGGCTGCTGGGGCCAGTGCAGGTGCTGGCCCCAGCCTCCCTTGCCCTACCAGGGGTGCTCCCTGGGGACAACTAGCAGCAGTACAAATATGTACAACTGCTATTTGTCCCCGGGGAAACGCACGTGCATGCTCATCTGGATGCGCCCACAATGTGCTAGGTGCTTTCTGGACAACACTTTTGCCAAGGAGTCTTCTACATTTTTTAACTGAACTTGCAAGAAAAATTACATTCTCATGTTGTGCAAGTTATTCACTGTGTGTGGACTTAAAAATTCAGTATGTGCGCTAATAAATGAAGCTAGCTTTTTTTAAAAATCACATTATAATATCTGGTCAATTACTTCAACCTTCAGTTATGTGACTTGTAATACTAAAAAGTATGTTTTGATTTTGAATGTTTTGATTTTGAATGCATGCACTGAGGTATTCTGAGTTGTGCTAACTTTTTTTTTACCACAACACGTGGACAATAAAAACACTGTCCACCCCCAGAGAATAAAATGTAATATTTTAAAGCTTTGAGAGTTAGAGAATAACATTTCAGGAACTTTGCCTCCAAAAATCCACGCCACTTCAGTGATATTTTAGAGTATAAAAAGAAAACTGTTTTTCCCCTTATGACTGTGTTTACTATGTTTTAAAAGGAACCATAATAACTGCCACAATTTATCATTATAATTAAAAGCAATGAAAAAGCTGGCAAAACTGCTCATGTGACTTGGCTGCGTCTGACTGAACTTTTGCAACACAAAGCAAACAACACATTTCCAAATCCTGCAGCTTTTATTTAGCCCCTACCAGGCAAAACAGCCACTTTGGAGTAAGGATTTGAAAGACAGTTCTGATCTTTAACATCAGAATAATCCAGCAGTATAACCAGCCATAGACATTTCCTTCACTGAAATCACGTGAATAATGGTTCTTTTATCTGTGTAATGCCCAAACTAACGTTGCAAAAATCATTACAAAATGCTCAGCTACTTAAATCCTTGATTCTTCCACTGAATTCAGTGAGGTCTCACAAGGGATCAAATCTAACCCTTAGTGAGCAGAACTCAGGCCCGCTACATTATCCCCATAGTAGTCCTTGCAGAGCCATTAGTCAGTTTGACTAATAATACATCAAATACAGAATCTTTACATACACGTTTACTCACTAGATGGTAAGCACTCTGATGAAGTTATCCTCAATTATTGTTCAGAGGCCCATACGCAGCTGTCCCACTGCAGACATAGACAAGGCAGCCTTACCTGGGGTCCTGGAGGCCTCCCAGAACCATAGCGGTGGTGATCGGGGTGTCACAGAGCTTGGTTGGCAGCCAGAGCATGGCTCTGGCCAGCCAGGCTCCAGTTTCAGGTGGTGCACTCTGCTGCTATGTGCGCTGTGCTGCTTTTTTCGGCACGCTTTATTTTGATACCAGTATTTCCCGGTATCTAAATTTGGCTCTGCGCTGCAAATATGCAGTGCAGAGAACCAATCAAGGGCACCTCTGTGCCATTAAAACTGTTTTGAGGTATTGTACACTAGGAAAGAGCCTCATCTCCAGAATAGGAGCAATGCATTCATCTATATACTTCTACAGCCACTATGGGAATTATGTGGTATATGAGAAATATATTGCAGCCATTCCAGAGCTATGTAGATTGACAAGTGACTTGGGAGGTACCATGAGCTAGTGGTTATAACAGTGGACTGGGAGTTAGTAGGTCTTGTTGCTAGGCCTGTTCCGGCTTCTAACTTACTTTGTGATTTTGAGAAATTACATATGACAGAATTTATAAACTGGCATGCCTAATCTGATCTTCCTGTGACTTGGTTTCCACATCGGTAAGGAAGAAATTACAATAGCTACTATGGTAAAGCATTTTGGGAGCCTCAAATAGAGACTGATCAGTGCTAAGCATTAGCAGCTGTAGTCAGTCAACACTTTTATTTATCATTTGTTAAAATGTGCCCAAAGTTTGTTTGATGAGAATATGTTATACACCTGTAAATAAATGCATGCCCATCTAGAGTCTGGAACTTGGTAAGCTCAGTGAATGTGAAAAACAAAAATGAACCAATGATGACTAAGTTACTCTGACCAGAATCTGTATGGCAGACGTATTCATGGACACCTCCCTGCATATTTTACATAAACTTTTTTTTTCTAATTTGGCACCCAAGAGTCAGCTCTGGCTTCCAAATGAAAAGCAGCAGAGGATCAGGGTGAAATCTGCCAGCATCTTCCAAGCATCTGGAGGTAGTGCACATGGTGAAGGGCTGAAAAATGAGTGGAAGCAGCCTCCCATTTTATAAACTTCAGACTAAGGAAAATAAATCATACAGGCAACTCAACAATGTTTTCTTTGTTCCTGAATAGGTCCAATGGATAAAATGGATCTCATGGAAGGAACAGAGCAAGAAACAGATCCAGTTGGAGCAGGAGGGTTTACTCCACAGGTTCCTCTGATTGAACAAGTTCCTAAATTCATATGAGCCTCAAAAAACATGAATCCCAAGGGTGGATTCTACTGCCACATACTTTAAGCTGTATCAATGTCAAATGGGTTCAGATTTGTCTGGGATCAAATGAGGCCCAGAATGCAGACAGACTCTCTTTATTCAAGCAACAATTGCTCAGGTTGAAGGCAGGCAGCTGGAGCCTGGAAGTGATTCAGGAAGGCCATCTTGTTAACTGATTCCCAATACCAAATATTATGCAATCCCCAGCACATAGAAGAAAAAAGAAACCATAAAGAATGCAGCCAGTTGGCCATTATAAATTAGGCACAGTTGAGCAAATCTTTCAACAAGAGGGGATGCACAGAGGGAGGCTTCATTTCTCTGATCCCAAAAAGACTGGGTGGAAACATGTTACATGTGACTTCTTTACACAAACTGATTATGAAACCCAATTCAAATGAATATGACTGCTCTTTCTGTAGATGTCATGACAAATGTTTATCTTCACCCTGCCACCTCATGCCAGCCACAGAACTTTCCTCATTTTGTATCCTGTAGAACTACAGCCAATACAAATCCTTCCTTAGAGATCACCAGCAATGCCAAGAGTGTTCATGAAGGCCTGTCTTCTTCCCAGTTTACACTACAAACGTTTGCCAAGAGAGCTCCACTTCTGGAGGCAAAAGTGTGAGTGTGAGTGTGTCTCCAACCAAAGGCTCATCATCTACAGCAGCAGGATTCCCCCTTTTTCTGGCAGAGCTATTCCACCTCTGCCATGTGGTTTAAGGCTTCTGCTGCTGCCTGGCAGTCTGCTGAAAGCTCCCATGCCTTCACCTGGCTACCATGGTTCATTAGGCAGCTGGTCCCTTTCCAGTGTGCATTTTGTGCAGTGGCATAGCTGCTAAGTAGCACAGCCGTCAGGGCTAGGGACAGACACTCAAAAAGACTGAGCCTGAATTGATTCAATCTTTGTAGGTTACTCTAACCTGGCTAGGCTGAATCAGTTTGTAAATGTACAGCCATCCCAGAAATGCAGGCACATGCCTGCAGTGGCTCAGGCTAGAAGCCGGGGGGTGCTAGAGGAGCCTTCCCTTCCCTTCCACAGTACTGAGCTGAGGGGGAGGTGTGGCCAGGCTCTGGCAGGATGCTCTGATTAGGGAGAGGTTCCTCCCTCACCCCTTCTGACCAGCCCAGCAGGGAATTGATAACAGCGTTTATCACCCCCAACTCAGTTTTTATCACCCCATTAAGAAAACAACAGAGGAACATTACCAGCTACCTGTTGATTCTGCCTTTGTCTTGTATGCCATGGCATGGACCATAGCCAGCATGTGGTCTGTTAGGTAATGCTGAGAGGTGTCTGTGTAAGGCAGAGGGGACAGAGGAATAATCCCTCCTTAGCAGGGAGTGGGGAGAGGACAGGGGCATCAGAGGGAAGCCAGGCAGACTCCTGCAGTCTCTGCCAGAGCTCCAGCCAGAGAGCAGAGGGGAGGGGCCAGCCCTGCTGTGGAGCAGAGAGCCCCGCCCAGCCCAGAGAGCATGCCAGGATGCTGGGGGAGTCTGGTTTAACTAAAACCAGCAAGGGGTTGGGGACAGACATTGCATAAACCAGTCTGACCCATTTCAATTAAGTCTGATACTTCCCCTTCCTCCAACCCCTCCCCCTACCCCGGGACTTAGTTGGCTAACATTGCATTTTCTATAACCTAGTTGCATTCCCCTCCACATCCCCATCCCTCTCATGTTAGTCCCTTGCTTGGGTGTTCTGTATTTCCCTTATGGCTTTGTCATCTTTTTGGCTCATGATCCTTAACATCCTTAACATCTACTACATTCAACCAGATATATCTCAAACCAGTTTCAGCCATTTTCAAACTGGTTTATGTGCACTGAACATCTGTTCTGTTACAGGTTTAAAGCAGTTTCTTATCACTTAAGCCAGTTTATGTGTAATGTCTGTCCCTACCCCAGAGGCACACAGATGTGCAAGCCCTCTGGCAGCTTATGCTGGCAGCTGCTGTCTGCCTCCAGAAAGTCTGGCAACAGAGCTGATAAGTACAGAGAAGACTTTCTATTTCTTGCTTTCTGTATCTGCTCATCTCTACCAGATAAGTGGAAACTACATTTCACTCTGAGGCAGAAGAACAGAGCTTGTTTCAAAAGGAAAAGCAGGGGACTCACTAGGCCCAACCATGGCAACTTTTATCTTACAGCAGGCAGGGTAGATGTTGTACCTTCATAGTCTAAATCAGAGATGCATATCATAAGCTTCCATAAGCAGAGGGGTTACTTCATCAGAGGCTGTAAAGGGATTTAGTTAATCTGTAAAGGTGCAAATCTACCCTGTGGTCTGCCTGACTTCAGACTGACATGTCTAACTACCTCTCCATCCTTTACCTGAGTCATTCACCTCTCCGTCCCAAGCATGTGCAGGGTTACTCAATCAAATTTAAAACACCCAACTTCTAAAAACAGAATCTTTACCTTTGGTTCCCCTAAGCAAGGAAATCTAGTGAGCACCAAAATACTAATGCCTGTCACTAAACAAACAAAATACATCTGAGCAAAGACACTGCAAACAGGAGGGAGTTTCAGCCACCATCCTGTCTCTCTGTGTAGGTGGAAGTTGCTAGAGCAAACCCTGAAGGGGTAGCTGGTGCGTGACAGCTCCAGAAGCCTCCAGTATCTCCATAGATACAAACAAGCCAACCACACAGGATGCCTCGGAAAGCAAGTAACCAGGTAAGAACAGTTCCCTTCAACAGCCCTTTATGCTAGCAACTGTGTGCTAATTAGCCTTTAGGACGTGGGAACCTGTTCCAAAGCATTATGGATTCAGAGAACAAATTCCCATTGTCTTCCGTAGGATTTGTACCAGAAAACTGGACTGGAAACTGTAAATGCATCCTTTTGATTTGCAAACTAGATGACTTGATATAGCATGTGTGCCATAACAGCTCACAGAGAGTGTTTAAATCATGTCAGGAACAGTTGTGGTTTTAATTTGGTTCAATAATAGAAAAATTAGGAAAACCGCAAGTGTTGTTCTACTTCCCCTCGCATCAGTGTCCAGTGTTAATGCAAAGGGCCTTTCCTAGTGAAAACAAATCTTTCTGGTGTAGGGAAATAACGGCTAAATTAATCTAAACACTTCTTTGCAGAAGGAAAGCAGCCTCTGTTATTATAAATGTAAAAGGAGTGATTTCAAGCATGGATAGCCCAGACAGACAGTAGTAAGGACAGGTCACTGAGGGCTGTGACTCACACACCGCATGGCCCCACTTGGCCCTTGGAACTTGACTTACTTTGACAGTCAGTAATGACCTAATTTCTCTTCTGAATGGTATATAATCAAATTCAGTCCTACAGCCTCATTTCCAGTCATCTTTATTCATTGTTATTTTTATTCCAAGTATTCCTTGGCATGGTTTAAGAGCTACTGAAGTGTTTAATAGCTGCTTAAAAGTAACAACACGCACTATTTACAGTAGATTTAAGCTAGAGAGCCTAGACGGGTCATTATCTTTACAAGAAATATGTGTGGAGGAAAAGGATACACGAGAAACAAGGCATCAATCAAAATATTACATGATTCGTGAACTTTTAATAAGGTGAAAGCAAAGTGGGCTTAGAAAGTTAGATTTACAATGAAGTAATTACAGTGTTTAAAAGATGAGGCGGGCATTAATAACAGCTGCTTTTTTCAGAGGTTCAGCACCTCTGAAAAAATCAAGCCTCTTGATTTAAGTATCTAGATTTGGCAGAGTAGCAACCAGGCATTTTGGCACCCAGTGCAGGTCGTGTGTACAGCATCCTCTCCACACTTTTATATAACATTACTTCCATTTGATTTGCCACCTTGTATGCAAAAGACCCCATGCCAGTGCACTGCTGGCACTGCCTTTGCTATGATACTAACATTTGGATACATAACTACAGGTTCCCACATCTGAACATTTTGGCCATACTTGCAGTGATGATGCTGGTAATGAACAAGATGATATATATGAATTTATATTCAGACAGTAGTAAAGGAAATAGGAAGAATTGTTTCTGTTCTAGGGTCTAGTCTGAAACCCCACAGAAGTCAATGGAAATCTTTCCATTGGCTTAAATGGGCTATGGATCAAATCCTTGTTAGCTTTCCTTTTATAGATTCATTACTTCCTCTCCTCTCTATTGCTCAATTTGCTTTCCCCTGATGTTTGAACCTTTTTCCAAATATTGCTAATAAATCTGTATAAAGTTTGGCCTTCAACTGAGCCTTTATTCCAGAGCACATCGTTGCATTGTATTGTTTTGGAAACTGTTCATAAAAATGAATTGCGTGGTAATAGCACAATTGTCAATATATGTAGGTTGCAGCATACCCCTTGTGGGTAATTGTGGCAAATAACATCTCATTTCCAGGAAAGTTTCAAAACTTTCATTTTCAAAGAAGTAACATTAATTATCACAGTCCAGATGATTTGTTTCATTTCTCCATATTTTCACCCTTTTGTCCCCACCCAGTGGAGCAGGTAGGAGCCCTAAATGATTGGATTTTATAGCAAGAACTAATTCATAACTATTATGCTCATGTATTTGTTTGGGAGTCATGCCCTTCTGCATTGCAGAGTAGTAGCGGAGCTGCCCTTTCACCAGTGCTCCAGACCAATGGCTTCCAATAACAACCAAGGTCGCTGTCACTCTGGTGGGGATTTAGCCAACAGACCTACATAGCTATGAAGACGCTAGCCATGTCTATCTAGAGATGGTTGGGAATTTTCCAGTTGAATGGTTTTTCAGTGTAAAATCTGTTTTGTGGAAGTCAAACTGTTTTGCAGATACCTACAAGGTTTTTTATAAACATTTAATCAGGAAGTGATTCGCCAAGTTAAAATTACTGGTTAAAATGCGTGAGAGAGGCTGAGAGTGGTTGCCCACTCCAGAACAGCCAATAGATCAGTGAAGAGGGAAGTCACCAGAGATATAGAAAACCAAATTTCTGCCTCATTTGGGCCAGAGGCTTGAACTTCACTCTCTTATATCCCACAAAAGCAACCTATATCAATTAGTAGGGTATTCTGGAGTAGGTCTCATTCAATCCCTCCTGTTGTCATTGTCCCACTATGTTTAAATAACTAGTGACTTTTCAGAATAGAAACTTAAATCTCACTCCCACACCTGCCAAATGAGTGCCCTGATCATTAGGCTATAGAGTCACCCTTCCCAGCTCAGTGAATATTTAACTATTTATATACCAAGTGGAACAGCTCCAAAAACCAGCTCATGGAATTCGGGAATGGTTCCAAATGACTGTAAGAGAGCCAACATGGTGTCCATCTTCAAAAAAGGGAAGAGGGATGGCCCTGCAAACTACAGACCAGTTGGTCTGACTTTGGTCCTGGGTAACATTTTTTAAAAATTTGTTAAGGAGGACATCAATTATAAGCTGGTAACCAATGGGTTGGTAAGAAGCAACTGGCATGGCTTTGTCAAGGGTAGATCACGCCTGACAAACCTGGTGTCCTTCTATGACCAGGTAACTAAACATCTGGACGAGGGACATGAGGCTGATGTCATTTACTTAGACTTCAGTAAAGCCTTTGATTCTGTTTACCACAGGATTCTCTCAACCAAACTGGAGGGTACTAGGCTGGACCAGTCTACAGTGAGGTGGGTGGACAACTGGCTTAGAGGCCAATCCCAGAGCATTGTATTCGATGGGATGACCTCATCCTGGAGGGCTGCCTCCAGTGGTGTCCCCCAGGGATCAGTGCTTGGATCCGTGCTCTTTAACATATTTATTAATGACCTGGATAAGGGGGTGGAAAGCTCAGTGATTACATTCGTGGATGATACCAAGCTGTGGGGAAACGCAGGCACATCAGAGGATAGGGGTAAAGATCGAGGACAACCTTAACAGACTGGATTTATGGCCTGAATGGAATCAGATGAGGTTTAACAGGGAGAAGTGCAAGGTTCTTCATCTGGGTAGGAAGATCCTTCACCACAACTACACAATGGGTGGTGGTCAACTGGCTGGCACAGCATCTGAATGGGACCTGGGGGTTATAATAGACTGGAGGACGAACATGAGCCAACAGTACAATGAGGTTGCCAGAAGGGCAAACAGAACTCTAGCGTGCATCAGCCAATGTGTGGTCAATAGACCCAGGGAGGAGCTCCTCCCTCTCTATTTGGCATTGGTGAGGCCACAGCTGGAGTACTGTGTCCAGCTCTGGGCACTACACTTCAAGAAGGATGTGGGCAAGCTTGAGAGGGTACAAAGAAGGGCCATCCATATCATTAGGGGCCTGGAGCATAGGCCCTATGAGGAGAGACTCTGGGAACTGGGTCTGTTCAGTCAGGGTACGAGAAGGCTGAGAGGTGACTTGATAGCCGCCTATAAGTACGTGGCTCAGGGGTGAGCATCAAGATCTAGGGGAACAACTCTTCAGGAAGGCACCTCAAGGGAGGACAAGGAGCAATGGGCATAAGCTAATAGAAGGTAAATTCAGGCTGGGCTTAAGAAAAAGCTTTTTCTCTGAAAGGGTCACCAGAATCTGGAACACATTCCCAGCAGAGGTGGTGCGGCCACCATCCTTGGAGATGTTCAGGATAAGACTGGACAAGCACCTTGCTGAGCTTGTCTGAGCCCAATAACTTCCTGCCCATGGCAGGGGACTGGACTTGATGATCTTGCAGGTCCCTTCCAGCCCTATGATTCTATGATTAAAAGAAGAAACTGAAATTTCCTACCACCACCCCCAGCCCACTAGGGTTCCAGTAGGCTGGGTGAAGGCATTCATTTGAGGCATGGAAAACTTATGTTCCAATCCCTGCCCTGAATAAGGCAGAGGAACTTTAATAATTGTATCCAAGGTGAAAACTTTCCAAAGGTCCTGTTTTCAGCCCAATTGAGAATATGAACATTTTTGAAAGGGTAAAAGTTTTCAAGGAATGGGAACATCTCAAAATCTCAAATAACCCCTCTGCATTAGGAAGGATGGATACACATCTCATTTTTTAATATTTAATTTTCATAAATATTGAGTTAAATTCTGTTCAGAGTTAACCCAGGGAAGCACACAAATATGTAGAAAGGCTTTATGAAGACCTACCACTTCAAAAGAAGCTGGTTTAGGAGTCATGACCCTACTTTTTGCAATAAGTTATGTATCATGAGCTTACGTAATTGGCAGCAGATAACATATCACACTCCCAGCTCTATGTCCTTGGTTCTACAACAGTGTAAATTGAAATATTTGCTAACTGCAAAACTGATGGAGCCTAACAACTAAAAGTGTTTTCATTGCCAAAGTGATGTTTGTACCAAATCATTTCCCATTATACTGCGTTAATGGTACTAAATTCATTTTAATACATGTTTGGGCTATTCAGGTATTTCTGAATAAAATATCAGTTTCTGAATAGTACTAATTTCAATGAACTAGGAATACCAGAGAGCAAGATAAAAATATACTTTCCTTAGTAAAATTTCATCACAAAGCATTTGTTAGAAAGCGCTAATTTTTTACCTTGTTCTTCCTCCATTATTCATCAATTGATTTACCTGCTGCATAGATTATGGATTCTCGGGGGTAGGAACTACCTTTTTTATTTGTTCAATGTGTAATGTAATAAGGACCAGAGCTAAAATTCAAACTGGTTCCTTCATTGCCTCTACTAAGCACTGCAACACTTAAATATTCCTCCCCTTGCTCTGGAGGGCAATTCAATTCACTTAGGTTACAGGCCCCTAGGATCCCCTCTACAGTCAACGGAGAGACTTGAAAGACACTTACGGATGATTCAGATTTAGATGCCTAGGCACTCTGTGCTCAGAGGGGGAGAAATATGTGCCCCTAGAGGGCTATTCTAAAAGCCCAGAGGTGCCTAGTGGTAGACATTAGGACATACTAAGCTGTGTATGAATGCCCACATGCTGGCACTTTGGTATTTGAATTACACTGTCCATTAGGCATCTCTGTTCCATTGTGATTCACAACGTCTACTTCCAGTTTGAAAGAGAGCTGCCTAATGACATCTGAGGATTGGTGGTGGTACCCATCTTTAGGCCGGTAGCCTAGGAAACATAAGGACTCGTGACCAGAACGACCCTCCCAGGCCAAGTCCTGGCTGCTGCGTTCACAGGCAGCCATTTCACTAACCATTCCAGTGACCACCTTTACACATGTTTAGGCTTGGCAAATTCCATTTTTATTTTTCAATAATTTTGATGGCTAAATTGAGGTTTATCTTTAAACATTTCGTTCTATTTTTATCAATTTAAATTTTCAGGATTGCGCAAAATTAGGGGTGGGGAGCGACAAGTTAGTAATGACAATATACTGGTAAAAGCTTTATAAAATCACATGTCAAAATATAAAAAGTAAATATCCATAAATCAATAAAGCATACCTGCTTTAAATCATTCCTTTCATTTGGTAGTACATTCGTAGAGACTTTGCTCTCACAGAATGGAGTGCAGGGGCAGGGGCCAGACTAGGCCCAGCAGGAGTTTGGCACCCTGCCCTGAGTACACAAGGACCAGGCCAGGCTCAGCAGGTGTTGGCTACCCCATCCCTGGCTGGGACCTGGGCAGAGTGAGTGGCTGGCAGCACCATACTCCCGGCTGCCAACAGCCCTGCCCCTTGGAGGCGGGACCCTGTGGCATCATCCCCTCCTCCAGACTCTTTTGCCAGCAGCCAGCATCCAACCAACCCCCACTCCCAGCACAGCCCTCCCAGCATGGCCCCCAGCTCCTGCACTGGCTGCCTGAGCCGCTGCCAGAGGAGGAGCATGTGGGCAGTGCAGGCCAGGCTCCTCCTGCCCCACCTGCAGCAGCTGCCATATGTGTGCTTGTGCACACAGCACCCCCATCCCAGATATCCTTATCCCCGTCCTGGATTTTTTTTCCTACATCCCCATTCTATAATTTTCTATTCTTACTGATGGAAATATTTTTCCATGTGTCAGTGAGTGTGGATTTAAATAGACATTTGTCGACATTAGTGATAAAGATCAAATCCTGCCAAACCCATGCATGTTCCAGCTTAAATTTATCTTCTTTGACCCCTGGTGACTAGTACTGTATGTGACATTCGAAACAGGTTCTTATGAATTCCTTTAACAGTAGCACTAATACTTCCTTGTCTCTACTAAATATACCCACCCTATTATTTCATTAGTCTTTTTTCATTGCCACATCACACTGACTGCACATGACCATCCAGTCAATATTGCTTATATCTTGTATCTTGGTATTTTTCCCAAACTACATGACCTAACTGCACACACAAGCTGCATGATTAAGCTTCATACCACTCCACAAGGTTATCTAATGCTTCCTATCAATAATCCAGGCTTCCTTATTGGCAGTACCACCCATCTTTGTATCAGCCACAACTTTAATGAGCATACATTGCGTTCTTGTACCAAAGGTTGTTAAAAAAAATATTAAACAGCATGGGTTCCAAGATCAATTGCTCGAAAACACCACTACTATCCTCTCCACCCTGATAACTCCCAAATTTTGATAGTGTCCAAATTCATATTCCACTCCAGGAAATATAGTTCCTCTATTTTATTGCTTAGACTGCCTATACTGGTGAGCTAATAATGCAGTAATTTCTATCCTGACTTATCAGAACTCCCAGCTGAAATATGCACTACCAATTTACTGCTGGAAATACCTGCTTGACTTCCATTTTCATCAAAATTATTGCAATCTATTTCTCTTCCTATCTTTGATGAACCTTGTCAGTAGCTACATTCTCATTTAGCCCATTTTCCTCCTCTAGTATAATTCTTCCAAGAGTTTAGATATAGCTGGTTTCTCTCAATCTTCTCCCCAGCTTCCTAGTTTTAAAATTTTGTTAGTAAACTGGATATTTCCCCATTGCCTCAAGTGGAACCCATTACAGATAAAAAGTCCTCTCTCTGTGAATGTCTGCTAGTGGTCAAGCATCCCAAAATCTTACTGATAGCACCAATCCTAAGGCACCATTAATCTTCATTATCTTGTCATCAAAGTTCCCTCTAAGGTGCACATGTGCGCAGCCGCACACAAATAAAAGGCTGGCCACGCACAAACTTTTTTAGGCCGCGCACCCACCGGGTTAGGACCTGGGCTGCGGTGTGGGACACAGAAGGAAAGCTCCACCCTGAGGCGCAGGCAGAGGCGGGAGCCTGGCACGGGCTCAGGGAGCCTGGCCCTTTGCCTCAGGGAGCAAGGAGGCACGTGGAGTCAGGGTCGGGGAGTGGAGCAGTTCCCTGGAGCCGGCAGAGCCCACCGAGCAGTTCCCCAGAGTCGGCAGAGCCTGCGCCAGCCTCCATCCCTGCCTTGTTTCACCTCAGGGAGGAGCCACTGCCTGCCCTGAGTGAGGCTCCACCGGCCCCCGGGAAGTACCCCCACCCCC